TGGGAGGAAGGAGAGGGGAAGTAGCGCGCCGAGGTCCAGACCAGACCAGGGGCGCAACAGGGAGGCGGAGAGTGAGAGGTCGTCACGCCCCGAGCCGGATCCGCCTCCGAGGCGGAATGCCCACCCGGCTCCGACCCTGTTATGTTTATGTTGTGCGGTCGGAGTCCGCACCTTTGGGGGGGGGGGGGGGGGGGGGGGGGGTACTGTCACGCCCTGACTCAGGGGACGCTTAAATGTTGAGTCAGGGTGTGTGTTTTCTTTGTTGTGCGTTTTCTATGTTGTATATTCTAGTATGTGTGGATCTATGTTGGCCGGTGTGGTTCCCAATCAGAGGCAGCTGTCGCTCGTTGTCTCTGATTGGGGACCATACTTAAGCAGCCTATTGGCACAGTCTAGTTGTGGGATCTTGTTCCGTGTAAGGTATGTTTTGTGGTCTACCTTGGACTTCACGTTTCGTGTAGTTTGTTATTTTTGTTGTGTTGTTTATTAAGTTAAAATATACATGTACGCATATCACGCTGCGCCTTGGTCCGTCCCGTCCTTCAATGAACGTGACAGCTACAGCTAACTGTAGCGCATACAATGTGGTGAGTAGTTGACTCAGAGAGAGAAAGACAATAGTTGAACAGTTTTCTTCCAAAATTAAGGAGAAGCAAGAGAGAGCTATATTTCGTAGTATATATACAGTGGGGAGAACAAGTATTTGATACACTGCTGATTTTGCAGGTTTTCCTACTTACAAAGCATGTAGAGGTCTGTCATTTTTATCATAGGTACACTTCAACTGTGAGAGACGGAATCTAAAACAAAAATCCAGAAAATCACATTGTATGATTTTTAAGTAATTAATTTGCATTTTATTGCATGACATAAGTATTTGATCACATACCAACCAGTAAGAATTCCGGCTCTCACAGACCTGTTAGTTTTTCTTTAAGAAACCTCCTGTTCTCCACTCATTACCTGTATTAACTGCACCTGTTTGAACTCGTTACCTGTATAAAAGACACCTGTCCACACACTCAATCAAACAGACTCCAACCTCTCCACAATTGCCAAGACCAGAGAGCTGTGTAAGGACATCAGGGATAAAATTGTAGACCTGCACAAGGCTGGGATGGGCTACAGGACAATAGGCAAGCAGCTTGGTGAGAAGGCAACAACTGTTGGCGCAATTATTAGAAAATGGAAGAAGTTCAAGATGACGGACAATCACCCTCGGTCTGGGGCTCCATGCAAGATCTCACCTCGTGGGGCATCAATGATCATGAGGAAGGTGAGGGATCAGCCCAGAACTACACGGCAGGACCTGGTCAATGACCTGAAGAGAGCTGGGACCACAGTCTCAAAGAAAACCATTAGTAACACACTACGCCGTCATGGATTAAAATCCTTCAGCGCACGCAAGGTCCCCCTGCTCAAGCCAGCACATGTCCAGGCCCGTCTGAAGTTTGCCAATGACCATCAGCATGATCCAGAGGAGGAATGGGAGAAGGTCATGTGGTCTGATGAGACAAAAATAGAACATTTTGGTCTAAACTCCACTCGCCGTGTTTGGAGGAAGAAGAAGGATGAGTACAACCCCAAGAACACCATCCCAATCGTGAAGCATGGAGGTGGAAACATAATTCTTTGGGGATGCTTTTCTGCAAAAGGGACAGGACGACTGCACCGTATTGAGGGGAGGATGGATGGGGCCATGTATTGGCTCTCCCTCAGTAAGAGCATTGGAGATGGGTCATGGCTGGGTCTTCCAGCATGACAACGACCCGAAACACACAGCCAGGGCAACTAAGGAGTGGCTCCGTAAGAAGCATCTCAAGGTCCTGGAGTGGCCTAGCCAGTCTCCAGACCTGAACCCAATAGAAAATATTTAGAGGGAGCTGAAAGTCCGTATTGCCCATCGACAGCCCCAAAACCTGAAGGATCTGGAGAAGGTCTGTATGGAGGAGTGGGCCAAAATCCCTGCTGCAGTGTGTGCAAACCTGGTCAAGACCTACAGGAAACGTATGATCTCTGTAATTGCAAACAAAGGTTTCTGTACCAAATATTAAGTTCTGCTTTTCTGATGTATCAAATACTTATGTCATGCAATAAAATGCAAATTAATTACTTAAAAATCATACAATTTGATTTTCTGGATTTTTGTTTTAGATTCCGTCTCTCACAGTTGAAGTGTACATATGATAAAAATTACAGACCTCTACATGCTTTGTAAGTAGGAAAACCTGCAAAATCGGCGGTGTATCAAATACTTGTTCTCCCCACTGTATATATATTTTCTTTCACTTACTTAGCTAGTGTCAATTGCAGCTAGATAGTTTAGCCAGGCTCAAATGGAGAGGGATGCTATGTTAGCTATCCAACACTGGAACTCTTCCAAGTCAAGTTAAGCCTTTGGTCTTATTAATTTATTGCCACCGGGACCTGCCGGTGTAACTGCTAAACTGCTTGCTGCTGACTGTACACTGTACTATGATTGTAGCGGGTTTACTAACACGTTAGCTCTAGTAGCTATGTTGACTATGATGTTAGCTAATATGGTGACAACGATGTAGGCTGTGTGTAGCGGTTAGCGGTTGTGATGTGAAGGTTTGACTTGGAAAGTTTTTTTCGCCTGGTCACAAACAGCTGATGTGTTGAGCACTGAAGTCCACAAGCAAAGGGAAAAGGTGAGAGGAGGAGAGCGCGTAGATGCGAGAAGGAATTATACGAGCAAAATGATCATGCTGTTTGTATGTGGCTGCTTTGAAAGTGAACTGTGTTCAGGGGTGTATTTATTGTGCCGATTCTTAAATGAAGCAAAAGGAACAAAATTGGGATGATCACTGAGCTGGGTGATTGGAATGTGAATGACAGTCATCCAATAACCTGTAATAGAAATAAGGCCACGTTCATTAAAAAAATTATCATCCTCCCTCATCTTAAACGGCACTGACCGCCACTGCATACAATTATCTATAAGGTCCCTCAGTCGAGAAGTGAATTTCAAACACAGATTCAACTACAAAGCCCAGCGAGGTGTTCCAATGCCTCGCAAAGAAGGGCACCTATTGGTAGATTGATAAAAAAATTAACAAACTGATATTGAATATCCTTTTGAACATGGTGAAGTTATTAATTACACTTTGGATGTGTATCAATACACCCAGTAATTACAAAGATACAGGCATCCTTCCTAACTCAGTGACGAAGGAAACCACTCAGGGATTTCACCATGAGGCCAATGGTGACTTTAAAGTAGTTAAAGAGTTTCATGGCTGTGATAGAAGAAAACTAAGGATGGATCAACAATATTGTAGTTACTCCACAATACTAATCTAAATGACAGAGTGAAAAGAAGGAAGCCTGTGCAGAAAAAAAAATATTACAAAACATGCATCCTGTTTGCTACATGGCACTAAAGTAAAACTGGAAAACAATTGGCGAAGAAATTAACTTCATGTCCTGAATACAAAGTGTTATGTTTGGGGTAATCCAACACAACACATCACTAAGTACTACTCTTCATATTTTCAAGCATGGTGGTGGCTGCATCATGTTATGGGCATGCTTGTCATCGGCAAGGACTAGGGAGTTTTTTAAGATACAAATTAATGGAATAGAGCTAAGCACAAGCAAAATCCTGGAGGAAAACCTGGTTCAGTCTGCTTTCTAACAGACACTGGGAGACTGTCACGCCCTGGCTCTGGGGACGCTTGTATGTTGAGCCAGGGTGTGAGTGTTCTTTATGTTTTGTGCTCGTTGTGTCCGTTCTAGTGTTGTATTTCTATGTTGGCCGGTGTGGTTCTCAATCAGAGGCAACGTGTATCAGCTGTTGCTTGTTGTCTCTGATTGGGAACCATACTTAAGCAGCCAGTTTTCCCACAGTGTTTGTGGGATCTTGTTTCCAGTGTGGTTTGTGTTAGACCGAGGACGTCACGTTATCGTTTGTTGTTTTTGTTCGTGTAATCACAAATAAAAAGTATGTTCGCATTCAACGCTGCGCCTTGGTCCTCTGTTCCCGACGATCATGACAGAGACAAATTCCCCTTTCAGCAGGACAATAACCTAAAACTCATGGTCAACTATACAGTACACTGGAGTTGCTTACCAAGACGACATTGAATGTTCCTGAGTGGCCTAGTTACAGTTTTGACTTAAATAGGCTTGAAAATCTATGGCAAAACTTGAAAATGGCTGTCTAGCAATGATCAACAACCATCCTGGCAGAGCTTGAAGAATTTTTAAAATTATATTGTGCAAATATTGTACAATCTTAGAGACTTACCCAGAAAGACTCACAACTGTAATCACTGACAAAGGTCATTCTAACATGTATTGACTGTGAATCCTTGAGATATTTCTGTATTTCATTTTCAATAAATTTGCAAAGATTTCTAAAGACATATTTTGACTTTGTCATTGTGGGGTATAGCGTGTTGATGGTTGAGGGGAAAAAAACGATTGAATCAATTTTCAATTCAGGCTGTAACAACAAAATGTGGAATAAGTCAAGGGGTATGCATACCTTCTGAAGGCACTGTATATGTTTTCTCTTAGGGATTTGGTAGTTATACTCTCCCCTTGTTATATTCTGTATGGGCTGACCTGGGAACAGGTGGCACACCACAGGAAGTACAGGGTTTCTCATCATGGTCACCTTGAATAGCTCACCTAGGGATTGAGGACACGGGTGGCCCAGTGCTGAGCACTCACTATCAGGCATTTTTACAATCACCAGACATAATGTCATACTTTCAATATCTTTTTCTTCAATCTCATTCTGCTTCTTAACTATGACCTGTCTCCATCTATCACACTTCTCAATTCTAAATATTTACACTGTAGTCTCTCATTGGCAGAGTGGACTGATTACCCGAGCGGGCCAGTCAGTCAGTGCCACAGAAGCTGCAGAGTAAATCCCAGTGCATGTGGAACAGTGATAAAGTTGCTCACATCACACCAGAGAACTGGCCTGGATTCCCTGCCTCTGCCTCTCCTCTCCTGCCTACTGACTGTCAACTAGGGAGAGGGAATTAGAGAGAGAGAGAGGATGTGACACAAAGGAAGAGAGAGAGAGCGGGGGGGGGGGGGGGCAGAGAGAGAGGAGCAAAAAGAGAGATTGAGAGAGAGAAAGAGACTGTTAAACAAGTGTTAAATGAGGCATGAAAGGAGATAATGCTGTGGCTCTCCTCCTGGTTCTCAGAACACCTGCCACGCCTGTCCTTGACACCTTGACCTAGGATCAGACTGATGCCCTACCATGGCATTGATTGGTAGGTTACAGTTGCTAATGGCAGTTAGTTAGTTAGTGGGTTTTAAATGTACAAAAAAAAAGAAGGAAAAAAAAGGAGGGTAGTAATGTCATTTTTTACTTCAGTCCTTTCTGCTTAAGTTGTTGGTAGCACAAAGTGACTTGCTAAATCCCATTTAGTGGAGAGGCAGGCACTGACTGGAGGGGCTCTGTGTGCGTTTGTGTCAGTTACACCCTCCTCCGTCTCTGCAGTGAGATGTGGGTGTGAATGACAGCCAGCTCAGCAGGGGGGCTGGTAATGAACGACATTACTGCAAGACTCAGACGTGATCTGAACTCATTTAGACCCATTTAGAGATCCACTTTTGGTTTTCCTGCCATTCGGACATCTTACTTTTCTACAAAATGGAAGATTCCAGGTCAGACAAAATGTCTTGTTTCAGCAGATAATTCCCCTAGTTCTTGGAATGGCTAGGAACAGAGACGGAATAGTGAAGCTGCGAGTTTGGAATTACTCTGGACTCTAGACTCTTGTTTAGAGCCTTGTGTTTGCACGTGTTTAATCACTAGTTGCCACACACACACACACACACACACACAAACACACAAACACAACCACAGCACAATATTTTTCACAGAACAATGAGTTTCAGCCAGAGGGGGATTCGCATTAGTAGCTATGTTTCCATCCAATTGGCAACAGATGTCCATGCAAATATATAAAATATGCATAAAAATTATATGCACATTTTCCCACCATATATTTGTTTCCATCAAATGGACTTGTTGCAAATAAAAGGCTGTGCGTGATGACTTAGTGGACATAAAAATAACTTTTGAACCAAATATAAAATACAAGTTAAATGGGTTTCCATCGCATTTTCAACTCATTGTCACAACGCATTGTCACAAAACATTTTGCATTATATAGCGAAAGTGCCCACTCAGATCTTTGCTGTTTCCATCAGGCCTGTCGTGAATTTTTTGATCCGACATGTACGTGAATTGCTTAAAAAGGTTGGATGGAAACCTGTTTAGTAAAACCAGCTAACTACGCTGAGAATAATACCTGATGATTCACATTCAAGTCTCTACTCATCACAGCTCACCTCACAAACAATCCTACAGGAATCCTGCAGGACTTTATTGTAAGGGTACACTCTACACAGCAAAAATGTAAAAAAAAAAAATCTGATCCACCTCAGCAGAATCAGACTGAGAAGAAGGCGACATGGTTGCTGCATGAAGCCATAATAGACCCATTCAGGAACAAGCGAGTTACACTAGACAGACTGCAGGGCTCCAGACTAACATTTTCCCCTGGTGCCACCAACTTTTTCAGGCTATGAGAAAAAAAATTGCAGCGTCACACAATAGAATACATTTGAGTCATCATCTTATAAAGTTATTAACAGTGCTTTATTAAGAATGTAATAGACCACTGAGATGGTATGCAATAATTAAGTTGTTACATCTAACATGTCCAAGCAGGAATGCATGATTCAAAATATTTTGATGTGTCATGATTTTTGGGTTGACAATTAAGCTATTTTTGTTTTATTTTACTGTTCAATAGAGAAGAATTTGCCTTCATCTTTATGTGAACTAATATTATATATAGACCTAATTCAATTGGTGCTAATTCACCACCTAAGGAAGTGGAAACTCAAAAAACTAACTCTAAATATAACACCTACTGCTAGTTGCCATGTACTAATCGAACACTAAATGTAAATGTCCTAAAAAAAAACTTTACAATGAGGCCTAGTGCACTTGCGATGGCAGATGCCCAATTTCGTGCGCTCCGTATTTCAAAGCCATATCAGATATCTTGATAGTAAAACAGTGTGCTTTGAGCTCAATAATAATCTTTGAGAAATAAAAATCATACCTACAGAAAGCGGAGACCCTCGTCTATTTAATATGGACACTTGAACTAGTTTTGGACACTTGAACTAGTTTTCCACACAATTGCATTTTGAAATGTTATACAATCCCGAGGGGCACACGAGGTGGGAGAGAGAGTGTAAGAAGCTTGCTCGGCACTCATTACAGCAGCCGGCCCCAGCGAAACAGGCAGGCACAGCGGCAGGGGAGACACTTTTATTACAGGAATAATGAGAATAATGCATTCTACTGTTTAACAAATTCATGGTTTTATCCGCCCCAAAAAGAGGACGTTTTTATTGAGATGACCAGGTAGAATGTGTAGCTTGCACCAGTGTGATCAATTCAAAATGTTGCTCGCACAGCCAAGTTAAAGGGTCTCAAAATGTGACTAAATGGTTGCAGTCTGGAGCCCTGGACTGCTGAGGACAGCACTGTGAAAGGGTTACTCCAAGCACAGTGCAAACTCCATTTTTTAAAAATCTAATCCAAATCAATGCTTGATTGATGCTTGTTTCATGATATAATGTAAGTTGTAGGACCAAGTGATAACAACCATCCGTAGTATCCACAAGGACTATATCAAAGATAATTGTACAGTAGGATGCAAAGTGAGTGTTACTGCAGAACTGGATCCAAAGCCTGCACAAATACCCAGTAGCTCCACACAACCAGAGTAGGAGAACCCTGAGTTAGACAATAGAATAGACCACAGGTGTCAAACTCATACCAAGGAGGGCTGAATTTCTGCAGGTTTTCACTCTTGCCTTGTACTTGATAGATCAATTAAGGTCACTGATAAGTTAGGAACTCCCCTCACCTGGTTGTCTAGGTCTTCATTGCCCACAAAAGAAACAACAAAAAACAGGAAATAACAAAAACCAGCAGGCACTCGGCCTGCCATGGATTGAGTTTGACACCCCTGCTATGGCCCCTTACCCATTAGCCAGGTTGTCGTCGTCATCCTCTGGCATGCTCTTTCCCAGCAGGTCGCTGTCGCTCAGGTAACCAGACTTGAGGTCAGCATCGTCCACATCTAGCCCTTCGATGAGCTCAATTCGGGAGGAGTGGCTGAGACGGCTGGAGACTCGGGCGGGCATGGTGTGGGCCGTGTACTGGGACCCAGCCTTACCCCCCTGATACACGCCGCTACCCGTGGACGAGGGGGCATCTCCAGCCTGCAGCCGGGGGCTGGACTGGCCATGGCGCCAGGAGAGAGGAGAGGAGCGATTGGACAGACTGGACATGCTGCGGGCGTTGTTCTCGTCACTGTCGTAGCAAACATTACTGCTCTCCAAACAGCTGGGGAGAGGAGAGGAAGAGAGAGGGGTTATAGTATGGTAGAAATGGAATGAATGAGAAGACAGAAGGAGAGATAGGATAAATTAAGAGTTTGAGGGACTCATAGAGAGAGAATTAGAGAAATAAATTATCTTTCCTTTTTTCTCTCTCAGTCAGCGGGCCTTTAAATAAATCTGTCCTGACATATAGTCTCTGCTGACCCAGATACAGCTGTAACATTCACTCTCAGCCTTCAGCGACTACAATAAAGAATGGGTGGCGTCTCAGAACTCAAGGGCAAGTTGCTTGCTATAGTATAAGGACATAGCATCATTGTGTGAACAGAGAAAAGTAATTTGTCCCCTCTCTCCCTTTGACGGGATCATTCATAACCCTCAGCAATATGGTCACAATTTCATTACCAGCTGGGATTTACAGACCAAAGGTAATCAGCACATAAATCACACACAACAGAAAAAAATGTAGGATTGCTCGGGCAAGGAGTTTTTCTTGACTACATGACCTGACCAGGGAAAACTCTGGGTCATTGCATTAGCCAGTGAAAGGTGAACCAATGTGGACTAGAGAGAAGTTCTAATTTAGACTACAGAGTAGTTCTAGTCTGTTGTCTAAGAGAGAGTTTAGACTAGAGAGTAGTTCTAGTTTAGACTAGAGAGTAGTTCTACTTTAGACTAGAGAGTAGTTATAGCCTGTTGTCCAAGAGAGAGTTTAGACTAGAGTGTCGTTCTAGTCTGTTCTCTAAATTGGTCAGGTTTTGCAATGCCCTCCCAATGGCGAGGAGCTTCTGCTGAGTCTGGCGATTACATAACCAGATGCACCAACCAGCCCAGATGAATAATGCAATGCCTGCCTGAGACCATGTGGGTGTTTCTTTCCTCCTGCTATTTCTGTACTTCTGTAGATGGATAATTAATCAACAGGGACTGTTAACTATTACTGCCTCAGGAATACATTCCGACTCCCACAATGCTTCATTGGAATGATACATTAGCTCAGAGTAGGACGGTACTTCCTTGAGAGTTTTGAAATGTAGTTTAACTTCAATATAGATAGTTTAAACTCATGGATGCACATCAAACGATCCCATACATTAGGGTATATGTTTGGGAGTTATGACAGGGAGCTGAACTAGTAACAGAATTACGGCCGGTCATTGAGCTATTAAAAAAACATGCTGTACGCAGAAAGTTAAGTCATTTGAAGCTAATGATTTACTAGTAGTACTGTATGTGGATATTATTTACAGTACCTACAGTCCATTTGTGCTCCAGAGCAGGGCTCTTCAACCCTGTTCCTGGAGAGCTACCGTCCTGTAGGTTTTCATTCCAATCCTAATCTAGTGCACCTGATTCTAATTATTAGCTGGTTGATACGCTGAATCAGGTTAGCTACAACTGGGGCTGGAGCGAAATCATACAGTAGGGTAGTTATCCAGGAACAGGGTTGGAGAGCCCTGCCCTAGAGGGCAGGACCGAGTTTGGGAAACCCTGCTAGAGGTTTGGTGGCCCAGGTTGAAAAGCATGAGTTTTTAGATGTGTCAAGTTACTGAGGTGTCTGTCAGTCTCCAGAGGCCAGGGCTATGGAAATTCAGAGCTCAGATCTGGGATGGAATCCCCTCGGACATGAACACCACACACATCAAAGAGAGACCAAATAGCAACAGGAATATTGGTAGGCAGATCACATACTACTGAGCTGGATTTAAGAAGCAGGCAAAAATGGAAGGTATACAGGCTTTGAATGCAAAATAACTTTTTGTTAACGAACGTTTCGGTTTCTGTCCAGTTTCTTCAATATCCTGTGTGGTTAGTCTCTGGTGTTTTCTGTTATTGTTTGTGTCTCATCATTATAGAGACCGTCTGAAACTAATACTGGACAAAGGGTTTCCCAGAATGTGATGGTCATGAAACAAAAACAGTCTGTTTCAGAGGGATTGACAGCATATGTATACCAGGTGGCAAGATACCAAGAAGACATAAAGGAGGAGAGTTGTGTAAACATGCTTGTGTGTACTCTATCGACCTGTCCATTGTGTTTCATGTGTGTATGAGTATATCACATTTCTCAAACAAATCCATAGCTTTCTTCTATGTGTACACGTACAGTATCTTGCTGAACCAATTAAACAATGACATAAAGTGCATTCGGAAAGTATTCAGACATTTACATTTTAGTCATTTAGCAGACGCTCTTATCCAGAGCGACTTACAGTTAGTGAATACATTTTTTTTTTTATACTGTCCCCCCGTGGGAATCGAACCCACAACCCTGGCGTTGCAAACGCCATGCTCTATCAACTGAGCTACATCCCTGCCGGCCATTCCCTCCTCTACCCTGGACGACACTGGGCCAATTGTGCACCGCCCATGAGTCTCCCGGTCGCGGCTGGCTGCGACAGAGCCTGGATTCGAACCAGGATCTCTAGTGGCACAGGTAGCACTGCGATGCAGTGCCTTAGACCACTGCGCCACTCAGGAGTCCCCTTGACTTTTTCCACAGTTTGTTACATTACATTCTTATACTAAAATTGATTAAATAGTTTGTTTTCCTCATCAATCTATACACAATACCCCATAATGACAAAGCAAAAACTGGTTTTTAGAAATGTATGCAAATTTATTAAAAATAAACAACTAAAATATCACATTTACATAAGTATTCAGACCCTTTACTCAGTACTTTGTTGAAGCACCTTTTGCAGCGATTACAGCCTCGAGTCTTCTTGGGTATGACGCTACAAACGTGGCACACCTGTATTTGGGGTGTTTCTCCCATTCTTCTCTGCAGATCCTCTTAAGCTCTGTCTGGTTGGATGGGGACCGTTGCTAAACAGCTATTTTCAGGTCTCTCAAGAGATGTTCGATCAGGTTCAAGTCTGGGCTCTGGCTGGGCCACTCAAGGACATTCAGAGACTTGTCCCCTAGCCACTCCTGCGTTGTCTTGGCTGTGTGCTTAGGGATGTTGTCCTGTTGGAAGGTGAACCTTCGCCCCAGTCTGAGGTCCTGAGCGCTCTGGAGCAGGTTTTCATCAAGGATCTCTCTGTACTTTGCTCCGTTCATCTTTCCCTCGATCCTGACTAGTCTCTCAGTCCCTGCTGCTGAAAAACATCCCCACAGCATGATGCTGCCACCACCATGCTTCACCGTAGGGATGGTGCCAGGTTTCTTCCAGACGTGACGCTTGGCATTCAGGCCAAAGATTTCAATCTTGGTTTCATCAGACCAGAGAATCTTGTTTCTCATGGTCTGAGAGTCTTTAGGTGCCCTTTGGCAAACTCCAAGCGGGCTGTCATGTGCCTTTTATTGAGGAGTGGCTGCCGTCTGGCCACTCTACAATAAAGGCCTGATTGGTGGAATGCTGCAGAGATGGTTGTCCTTCTGGAAGGTTCTCCCATCTCTACAGAGGAACTCTACCACCAAGGACCTTCTCCCCCGATTGCTCAGTTTAGCCGTGCAGCCAGCTCTAGGAAGAGGTGGACTCAATCAAGTTGTAGAAACATCTCAAGGATGATCAATGGAAATAGGATGCACCTGAGCTTAATTTCAAGTCTCATAGCACGTGGTCTGAATACTTATGTAAATAAGGTATTTCTGTTTTTTATTTGTAATACATTTGCTAAAATTTCTAAAACCCTTTTTTCACATTGTCATTATGGGGTATTGTGTGTAGATTGCTGAGGATTTGTATTTATTTAATGCATTTTAGAATAAGGCTGTAACGTAACAAAATGTGGAAAAGGTCAAGGGGTCTGAATACTTTCCGAAGGCACTATACAGTTGAAAGGTAATGTGTGGGTGGCAAGTAATGTTTGTGCAGATGGAACTTTAAAAGAAAGAAACATACATAAATAAAAGGATATTCTGGGTTTTGAGAATGCTCTTTAACGTTATGCCCCATTCACACCAGTACGTGGCATCAGAAACACCCCATTATTGCCTACTATAATCTATGAATTCAATGTATGGTAATGCACTCACCCATGGCTGAGCTGGGCTCCCCGTAGACTGGACATGGTATCTTCCAGGTTCTGTCTGAGGTCAAGGACGTTCTGCACCGTGCGTTTCCTCTGAGACTCTGGGTCTGTGGGGATATCACATCAGTCACTATGGTCAGACACACAATGCAGTCACATATCCCATGTATCACTGTCAAACTGTTGTGTCTTATTCCCTTGAGATATCCCAAAGCTTTTCCTCTCTGAAAATAAATATGAAAGTTCCAGTTCTTGAATTAAACTTAACTTTGATTTCCCAAAGATAGAATTATACTTTACTGAATAAAGGCACTCATAAAAAGCATTGACTTTTAACAAACCATAGGCCTATAATCCTTTTGTATTCCAGTGTGAACACACTGTTGTGACTGTGGACTGGTATTGTGTAGTGACAGGTGTTTTGCTGGTGAGAAGCATCCATGCTGTGTTCACATTGTTAGGCAGACAAATGTGACTCCCTGGGCTCCCTCACCATGGCAACGCTGCTCTAACCACCCTACAGGATCCTGACATAGTACAGCTCTAACTGTGGAACACCCCTGTTTTGGATCTTGACGTGGTACAGTCCTAGCTGTAAAACACTGATGACAGTGACTGGGACTGTGAGTGGCCACCAGGGGGATGCTTCTGACGTTCTGTGGAAACTACAAACTCTATAGCCTCCCAATAGGGAAGACATGCATTCTCCTTGATGTGTGTGCGTGTTCCTACATACATTTAGGCAATTATAGCATCATAATACAATCACAATCTCGCACACACATTCAGTCACCCCTTCTGCCCCTGCACATATACACACACACGCTCACAATACTCCATAGTAAATCATAGCAAAACAAAGGAAAATGTCATAATGATAATGTGAATCCTACATGGACAGCAGACAAGACATAACCATCCTATCCTAAATCAGCCATGTTCTCTGTCTCAATTGTTAAAATTAACGACTGGATTTCTCTTTGACCATGATGGTGAAGAGGAGAGATGTGGGGAAACAGGAATGCGGTTTTCTACTATTCAGTACAATAGCTACAGGCAATACCCCATGAGAGGTGAAAAAATGATCATCCATTGCATTAATTGGAGGTCTTGGCTAAGAGTCAAGAATAGTACAGGACACCCATCTCAAATAATGGGCCATACTCATTAGGTCTTCACTCTGAGGCAATTCAGCAGGATGTGGAGAGGCTGTAAATTAGCAAGCAACCTTAAATAAAAACGCATGGCCTTTTGTACCTCTTTCACTATCATGAAAGTGTGGATATAGAAACATGGCTGTAATGTTAATGTTCTGAGAAGTGCTATTATAAGCTAAAAGTATGCTCTCGTTCAGCGGTTTTAAACTTGTGTAATTACAACCTCTGGTCCTTTCAGCATCAGTAGATTGAAAATAAGGACCTCTGCTGCTCACAGTATTTCAAACAGTTTACACTTGATTTCATATCATAATCTGCTTATATCAGCTCAAACTCAATCTCATTAGAAACCAGTTTTTGCCAGAAGCTGAAACATAGCCTGGTCCCAGATCTATTTGTGTTGTTGCATACTCCATTGTCATTGTCAAGCCAAACATATTTTGCATGACAATTCCATAAGGAGTTTCCCACGGGGGGCCAGTATGAAAATGTATGCATTCACTAACTGTAAACTGTAAATGACTAAACTGTAAATGACTAAAATGTAAATGTTAATGAGTTGGCAACAAAGCAGAAACATTCTGGCACCCAGGCTAGCTGAGTCATGTACCATTCCTTCATATTTAGCCTACCACCACAGCAGACACACCCTTTAACAAGGCTCCATTAGTTTGACTGAGCACGAAGAGTCATGTATAGCTTAATCCTATAATGCCTGCTGATACAGTATATTGGATTAATACATATCCATCAAAAATATGTTTATAAAAATGGTGAATGTGATCTAAAAGAGAAATCTAGCAACGTTTGAAAAATCTATTTATAGTTCTGATATTTTTCCCACTACGGCCTGCATAGTCAAAGAAGGCAACATCAAAAATGTATTGGTCAATTTCTCTACGGTGCCATTTGAATTAATATCTTCCTAAAATGTATGTGTGTCATTAACCACTTCACAACCTCAGAGCACCACTGCCCTGGACCTACTGTAAGGAAGTGATCTCCATCATACAGCTACATGGGAAACATCCTTCTCTTTGTAGTGGCAACCACCAGAGGGGGGATGCTAGCGACCTTCACATAGACCCAAAACAGAAAGCCGAGCCAGCCAGCAGAGCACATAGCAGACATGCATGCAGGCTCCGCACCACACGTGCTGCTGAGGAAACAGGCCTACATGCTAAAGTGATTGGCAGGTCCCTGGTGCCCTGCACTGAGAGAGAGACGACATACTGTAGTTCTACCAGGAATCTTCCTCACTCACAGACAGACAGAACGCTAAAGCAGATCTCAATGGAAAGACCACGGACAAAAATCTTCACCTACTGTTTAAATGATTAACTGACATATTTCTATCTGTTTAGCTCTCTCAGGTCTGACAGACAGGGTAAACGTGTATAGATTAGTTAATCTAGACTGATTTGGCAGTCTGGAATCCCTGTTTGTCCTTTTAAGGTCCAGTCAATGGATTAGTCTGTTCACTGAGAAGACGATAGAATGACAGTGAAAGGCCTATAAATTGTCTCTCACACTGAACACCCCACTCCAACTGTACAAACAGCCCAAGGGATAGGAGAAAACCAAATGGTAGTGTCCGATCTCACAACATAATGGGGCCTTCTCCCGAGGTCAAGAAATCCTACAGCAAGAAAACCCCTTTCATCTATTTCATCTGTGTGGACATGTATAGTCTTCTATTGTCAGTTATCTCCAGATATTATCCTACTGGAGCAGCATGACTAGTGATTCCAGATGAGTTTGCCTCACCCATTTTACACTACATAAAGTGCCTTCAGAAAGTATTCATACCCCTTGACTTATTCCACATTTTGTTGTGTTACAGCCTGAATTCAACATTTATTAAATTGATTTCTCTCAACCATATACACACAATACCCCATGATGACAAAGTGAAAACATGTTTTTAGACATTTTTTTAAATGTATTGACAATGAAATACAGAAATATCTAATCTACACCCCTGAGTCAATACTTTGTAGAAGCACATTTGGCAGCAATTACAGCTGTGAGTTTCTGGTAAGTCTCTAAGCCCTTTCCACACCTGGATTGTGCAACATTTTCCCATTCTTATTTTCAAAATTATTTAAGCTCTGTCAAATTGGTTGTTGATCATTGCTAAACAACCATTATTGGGTCTTGACATTGATTTTCAAGTAGATTTAAGTCAAAACTGTAACTCAGCCACTCAGGAACATTCCCTGTCTTCTTGGTAAGCAACTCCAGTGTAGATTTGGCCTTGTGTTTTAGGTTATTGTCCTGTTGAATGAAGTTGAATTAATCTCTTAGTGTCTGGTGGAAAGCAGACTGAACCAGGTTTTCCTCTACGATTTTGCCTGTGCTTAGCTCCATTTCATTAATTTTTTATACTGAAAACTCCCCAGTCCTTAACGATTACAAGCATACCCATAACATGATGCAGCCACCACTACGCTTGAAAATATGGAGAGTGGTACTCAGTCATGTGTTGTATTGGATTTGCCCCAAACATAACACTTTGTATTCAGGACAAAAGGTTAATTGCTTTGTCACATATTTTTTTGCAGTATTACTTTAGTACGTTGTTGCAAACAGGATGCATGTTTTGGAATATCTTTATTCTGTACAGGCTTCCTTATTTTCACTCTATTAATTAGGTTAGTATTTTGGAGTAACTACAATGTTGTTGATCCATCCTCAGTTTTCTCTTATCACAGCCATTAAACTCTGTAACTGTTTGAAAGTCACGATTGGCCTCATGGTGAAATCCCTGTGCGGTTTCCTTCCTCTCCGGCAACTCAGTTAGGAAGGATGCCTGTATCTTTGCAGTGACTGGGTGTATTGATACACCATCCAGAGTGTAATTTATTACTTCACAATGCTCAAAGGGATATTCAATGTCTGCTTTTATTTTTACCCATCTACCAATAGGTGCCCTTCTTTGTGAGGCATTGGAAAACCTCCCTGGTCTTTGTGGTTGAATCTGTGTTTGAAATTCACTGCTCGACTGAGTGACCTTACAGATAATTGTATGTGTGGGGTACAGAGATAAGATAGTCGTTCAAAAATCATGTTAAACACAGAGTGAGTCCATGGAACTTATTATGTGACTTCTTAAGCACAATTTTACTGCTGAACTTATTTAGGCTTGCCATAACAAAGGGGTTGAATACGTATTGACTCAAGACATTTCAGCTTTTCATTATTAATTACTTTGTAAACATTTTCAAAAACATCATTTCACTTCTGACATCATGGGGTATTGTGTGTAGGCCAGTGACATTTTTTTTTAAACATTCAGGCTGTAACACAACAACATGTGGAAAAAGTCAAATGGTTGGAATACTTTCTGAATGCAATGTACCTACGCTATTTGACTGCTACTCTATGGCAGTGAATGCAGCCTATTGTCACAGTCATTGTGGACTTGCACAGTTCCCATCTAATTACTGCAGAAAGACATGCATCCGCCTCATCTGCTAGTTCTCTTGTTGTCGTCGTAGTAACCCAGAGCTCTGCTTACTACCCTGCTCTCCTCATGGACATGGCTATTGAAGGAATACACATTCATATTCAATCTGCCATTGAGAACTAGTCAAATTCCATCTCCCTTAGTTGTGTTAACGTGCACTCCTTCTCCACCCCCCATTATACTGTATGGCCATTTTACAATATAGTTGAATTTAGGCAATTGCCAACTGCTATTGAGGTTCCCTCCGCATGCTGGTCCATCACAGCTGCACTATACTGTACAATAGAGGCTATGTAGTGGGCGAACCAAAGTCTATCTCCAGCTCTGTCTAATGATGAGAGGGTTGGACTGTGTTGTTCTGGTAGTGGGTAGAGGTCGCATTACACAAACTGACTTCATAAATAAGTCTATTATGACATCCAGAGGACAACTGTACCACCGAATCAGAATGAAGTCATAGGATGTTTCCCACAAATAGAGCCTCTATATTTATTGAGGAATCAAAACAGTCCTTTCATTAATCTTGTTATGAGCAAGAAATCTAATTAAAAGTGGGTTACTGCTGCATTATGCAGACTATGAATGCACAAGTCCGTGTTTTGTTGTGATTCTGGATGGCCAGATAGCTAACAACAATAGCTATGTTTCCATTAACTTATCCAGTGATTTTGTGTCGACATTTAGAAAGTTTGCATACAAAATAAATGCGACAATTGCCTGCTAGGGTGTGTTTCCATTTAACTATTTTGTCGATAAAAACAGCGGGACGTAATGACGTCACACCCCCCAATTATTTTTTTGCCCCAAATACCTACAGTGTTGAAAAAATGTAGTGGTTGAAGTGTTTCTATTACCCATTTAGGCAAATTGAGCATTAATAAATTGGCGACAGCCTGTATGCCCTCCCACCTATCTGTTTCATGTCTCAGGTAGCCCGCGAAAGCTAGCATTGATAAAATGCAATAATTGACTAATATATGCCATATTCTAATCCTTCTCATGTGCCAACATATAGCCACGGTCCGTGCCATAGTGAAACTTGTATCTGAAATAATTGGATGGTGAAACTTGCCAGCCAACCAGAAAACCAAGGCGAAGCAATTCAGACAATTATTGTCCTGCAAAAAAAACATGATTTTTATAGTGCAAGACTTAGGCATTTAGAATTAATTGTGGAGTGGAGCTTTATAATTATGCGGTGACAGCCCCATGTACCTACAAAATGATTTGGCAAACACCGTTTCCATCATCATTTGTCACAATAAAGAAAGTTAGAAGAAAAATCCACCAGTTGAACGGATAAATATGTTGTCGCTCTTTAGAAAATGTCTCCTACATCTGCCGTTTCCATTACACGTCACAATAAAAACATTTTGCGACATTGCTTTTGTCTAATAAACCTGGGTCAATGGAAACCTGCCTAATGACGAGAAACTGCCATTTTGGGAATCGTAAGTTCCTCGTTTCAGGTAGTTACATATTGTTCTTAATACCATGTCTTGTTTTGAGGTGTTTTGACTGATTTCATGTCAATGCTAATATGGCAAAAATTCGCTAGCTAACAAATAACTATAACAATGTATCTGATAGACAACAAGTGCTCATTGTGCCAAAGTATTTATGTTTTTAATAAACATTGGAGACAAAATGTAGTTTAAATGTCAACAATCTTCTAAGCCAACCCATCTGTTTGCCCCATAGTTGCGCAAGTGTCAGTTTTGTTGCTAAACAACCAACCCGTCTATAAGGAGAGACATTTTTTAAAGAAAGACTGACACAAAAGCATGTTCTGTAATAAAATACAGTTCTGATAAATGTAACAGCCGCATACTGGAGTAAGATAACTATTAAAAAAAAAAATATATATATATATATATATATATATATATATATATACACTACCTGTCAAAAGTTTGGACAAACCTACTCATTCAAGGGTTTTTCTTTATTTTTACTATTTTTTACATTGTAGAATAATAGTGAAGACATCAAAACTATGAAATAACACATATGGAATCATGTAGTAACCAAAAAAGTGTTAAACAAATATAATTATATACTGCCACCCTATGAATTGATGACAGCTTTGCACACTCTTGGCTTTCTCTCAACCAGCTTCATGAGGTAGTCACCTGGAATGCATTTCAATTAACAGGTGTGCCTTCTTAAAAGTTAATTTGTGGAATTTCTTTCCTTCTTAATGTGTTTGAGCCAATCAGTTGTGTTGTGACAAGGTAGGGGGGTATACAGAAGATAGTATTTTACCAAATAGGGCTAAGTCCATATTATGGCAAGAACAGCTCAAATAAGCAAAGAGAAACGACAGTCCATCATTACTTTAAGACATGGAGGTCAGTCAATACAGAACATTTCAAGAACTTTGAATGTTTTCAAGTGCAGCGCTATGATGAAACTGGCTCTCATGAGGACTGCCACAGGAATGGAAGACCCAGAGTTACCTCTGCTGCAGAGGATAAGTTCATTAGAGTTACCAGCCTCAGAAATTGCAGCCCAAATAAATACATAACAGAGTTCAAGTCACAGACACATCTCAACATCAACTGTTCAGAGAGGACTGTGTGAATCAGGCCTTCATGGTCAAATTGATGCAAAGAAACCACTACTAAAGGACACCAATAAGAAGAAGAGACCTGCTTGGGCCAAGAAACACGAGCAATGTACATTAGACCGGTGTAAATTTGTCCTTTGGTGTGTAGTTCCCACTGTAAAGCATGGAGGAGGAGGTGTTACACTTAACCAGCATGGCTACCACAGCATTCTGAAGTGATACGCCATCCCATCTGGTTTGGGCTTAGTGGGAATATCATTTGTTTTGTAACAGGACAATGACCCAACACACCTCCAGGCTGTGTAAGGGCTATTTTACCAAGAAAGAGAGTGCTGGAGTGCTGCATCAGATGACCTGGCCTCCACAATCCCCCGACCTCAACCCAATTGTGATGGTTTGGGATGAGTCGGAGGGCAGAGTGAAGGAAAAGCAGCCAACAAGTGCTCAGCATATGTGGGAACTCCTTCAAGACTGTTGGAAAAGCATTCCAATTGAAGCTGGTTGAGAGAATGCCAAGAGTGTGCAAAGCTGTCATAAAGGCAAACACTTTGTTGGTTACTACATGATTCCATATGTGTTATTTCATAGTTTTGATGTCTTCACTATTATTCTACAATATAGAAAATAGTAAAAATAAAGATAAACCCTTGAATGAGTAGGTGTGTCCAAACTGTTGACTGGTACTGTATATTGACTGTATTATGGCACATAAACAATTGTATAATGAGAGACAGAAAATCAATGGAATACAGACATTTGGCTGCTTTCTTTTCTGAGTGGCGACTTTGTTTACATGATCTATTCAAACATCAACCATTTTTTCTATTCCACGAAGGGGAACACTTACTGTACATAAGTAGACCGTTTTTAATTCTCTCGTCATGTAGTTGCCATGTAAGTGTGTTTAATCCCCATTGATATATCAACTTTGATAAACAGGTGGGTCAAAACCTTTTAGTCCCATGTCTACGATTTCCGACGATACCCCCATTCTTTTGAGACAACGTTTAAACACTTTTCCCCGATAGTAAAGTCCAGGAGAAAATGTGCTTTGCACAGGTAATCGTATATATTGTCAGTTTCTATTATGAAAGCAATCGGTGAAGTGACAATTAGTTAACAAATTGATTATTCACTTCTCAAACACAGCCAAATGAAAGCTAAACAGAGCTGTATTTTCAGGTGGGCGTGGCTTGAGCCTTGCTACTCACAGACGATTCGCCTCTATATGGGCTGTCTGTTAGGCCTACTGTACGTCAATTAAGAAAATTACTCCTGCAAACACACATTTATTTGTTGACATTTTGGTCAAGTTGCCCTTTACTGTACATTTGCAGAGGCAATCGCCTGAAGATTTTTATTCCGAGTTCCACAAAGATAAATAGTCTGGTATGTGTGTGTGTGTGTGTGTGTGTGTGTGTGTGTGTGTGTGTGTGCGTGCGTGAGTTAATATTTGCTCTCATTGGCTGTTTTATAAGGCAGTGGGGAGGCGAGTCATGACTCATATTATTCCTTATACTGTTTGAAGTTCTGCCTGGTTTTCTGGCAATATTTGCATTCATAAAACAAAGCTGTTCACTCATTGCAATGTTGTTTCATGAGGGATTATTATGTATAATAATAAATAATTCATTAAGCAGATGTTTTAATTGAGATTTCCTCATTTTAAAATAATGGGACACTTAAAATCTCTATTCCTTAATAAATCTAGGAGGATAAGAATTAAGAACATTTCAGAAAATGTCTCTAGTGGTTCCTACGCAACCAATTGAAATCATGTAAACACTAGGGCTGGGAATTGCCAGGGACCTCACGATATGATACGATATGTATTGCGATTCTCACGATTCTATATGTATTACCATTAGACACTGCGATTTTATTACGATTTGATGCTCCAAACATATTGCTCACTATATGTCTGCTGCAGAGAGACAAGAGAGAGCATGAGATTTTTGTTGTTGTTAATCAGTCACGGAAATAAAAGTGCTGAAAACATGTTGGCTCACTATTTAAAAAGAATATGGATAACAAGCTATAGGATGAAAAATACCAGAGTTTTGGTGCAGGCACAGCCGACTAGCGCTAGTTAACGCTACATAGCAAAGGTATTTAAAAAATGTATTTTAAAGAAATTGATACTTGGTTTCAAAGTATCTAAATTATATGATTTGTCCCAAAATAATATTGTGATACGTAACTGTATCAATGTTACCCCCATCACTAGTAAACACACATACACACACACACAATGGACTGTAAATGATCACAATGTGATTGTTGACTGATACTGTTTACTTGTCTCTAAACCCGACGAACACGAGGGGTCGACGTCCCGTCCATATGAACTAATAAGGAGAACAAATGAGATCAGTAAAAATGTGTCCATTAACAAAATATGTCTCTAACTTGGCTAGCTGGTATGTCAACAAAATATAGGCTACCTCTATATTGGCTAGCTGGAATGCTCATTGACTGGCTTGTTCATAAAACCTTTTGATGCCAATAACGGCCCTTCAGGTGCAAATTGAAATAGTATATCAATTAACAGATACTAAACAACATAAGATTATTTGTGACAGAGCTGTGTTGTTTAAATCAGTCTCTGGGCTCTATGATTCAGGGCAGAGCTCACTATCATTAGCCTTTAACCCACTGGGAGCAATCTCCAGATACAGTCAAAGTAGCGGCCTTATAATCTAAAACCATCCAGTCCCATCTTCAATTACGGTCCATCACAACATGTTTTTGTTAGAGTGGACCAGAGAAGAGCTGACCCTTTCAGAAGCCTGCAGAGAAACAGACCCCCAAAATGGGTCTGGGACTTGAAATTGGCAATTTAATAGAGCCAGGGGTTGGACACAATTGAAATTGAGGTCACTGATTCAGCAGCTGATGCACAAACTGAAGTACAGTGGGATGAATGCCAGCCATGTATGACCGTCAGAGAAAGACAAGGTTTGGGTGGGATATTTGGTTCTTGGTCCTAATCTGTGCTGTTGTTTCTGATCAAGGTCAAAGCCAATTAACCCAACACACTAATCTAACGCACTCAATTGGGATAATGACATGCATAGACAGAGGCCAATAAAAAAGCACAGTAGGCAATACAGTTATCAACCTATATCACTTGTCAGTATAAAACCTGACAGAAAAATGACGCTGTACTGTATGTATCAGAAAAAGAGAGCTATTCTGTTCAAAATGTGCTGTGTTTAGTCAATGATATCTACACATTATACAATCTTTATCCACCTGGTTGTAAACAAAGAGGTTGTCGTTCTACTGAGATACCTACAGGAGAGAGAGAGAGAGAGAGAGAGAGAGAGAGAGAGAGAGAGAGAGAGAGAGAGAGAGAGAGAGAGAGAGAGAGAGAGAGAGAGAGAGAGAGAGGCCCAGCCATGGCCATTTTCTTTCCCGTTGCAGACAGTGTGGGCACCATCTGTCAATGGCCACGGATGAATGGGGCTGGGAGGAGGCTAAATATGTGTCTCACAGTGGGCTGAAAATGAATTAAATATGGCTTGGTTTATTTCCCAGCTCCTATTTTCTGGAACTATTCACAGATATCCCTGCATGGAGCATACAGAGGGCTACAGAATCACTGAGGGCATAGCTGGTTAGTAGACCCACTGCAGCAGACTAGAGCTGAGATGGAATAGAGATCAGTGTGCCACTGACTAGCCCCAGGTTTTCTTTTTTTCTTTCATGCCATTGAATAGCCAGTGCTATATAGTGATGGGGGAAAAATCGACACAGTTATATATCGTAATATTATTTGGACTATATTATATTGATACTTTGACTCCAAGCATCGATTTACTGGCAATTCCCAGCCCTAGTGCTATAGGAAACAACCGTATACACACAATCAATGACATCATGCTTCCCATGCCAGAGGATATTAAAAACAATAACCTAAATGCATTGCAAACAATGGAGGTATTCTCCACCACCACCAGTCATGACTGATCAAAACCCCTGCTTCACAATAATGTGGAAACAACTTTAAATCAAAATGCCAAAGCTGGGGCAGCATTCAAGAGAAAGCTTTTCAAATGCATGCGTTGTGAACACTGAGAGACGGTATAAAAACCATAGAGGCTTTTTCTCAATCGATGCTGGGCCAGATTAGCTCCAGTAAGGGACAATGAAGTCTGCAGCAGCAAGCAGGTGTTAGCGACAGCTGTAGTAAGGGGGCGTGCTGACGGCGCGAGGCGTCGAGAGGAGAGAGGGGCGTTTTTATTTGTTGTGCTGTAGAAAGCAACAGGCTCGACAGGCAGGGAAAAGGTTCTGCTTGGTTTTACTCACCCAGCATCTGGCTGAAGAGAAGCTGCTCCAGGTCACCCAGGACAGTCACTACCAGCTCTGGATCCACCTTGAGGAAGGACTGGCTCCCATCCCCTTGGCCCTTGGCCCCTGCCTCCCCAGAAGCTCCCGTCACCTGCTTCTTGTTGGCAGCCTTGGCCTTGCTGGAGAGGATCTCATCATCAGATTTGCCATCCTCAGGGGCCTTACTCAGGGGCTTCACCTCTGCATAGGGCCCCCTGGGGATCCGGCTCTGACCGGGTCTGACTAGGCCAGAAGGAGCCGCCAGTGGGCTGAAGGGTTTGGGTTTGCCCTGGAAGAGAGAATGCTCTGACTTGGAGAGGTTGCGTGAGAGTGGCGCGCCCCCTCCTCCGCCACTGCCACTGCCACCCCCTCCTGCCAGCTTGGGCTTGCCCGTCTTTAGGTGCCCTGCTCCAGTCTTGGCCATATCATCACACCACTTAGGCTCGTAGAGGTGCATCTTCTTCTCTGCATCGGTGAGCACGGCCAGGTTGGTCAGGGACCTCTGCTTGCGGAGGTTGGAGGACACTGGCAGCCTCCCCTCAGAACTACCTGCACGGTACACCCTCAGTTCCCCTCGCTGGGCACTCTGGGGCACCCCCGACTTGCCCCTCTTGGCTGCCATGCCAATAGCTTTGCCCTCGGCTTGGCCGTACGTTTTGGTACTTTCCGCCCGTTCCATCTTTAAATCTCCTTCTCTGCCTCCTTTCACACTACTTCTGAGCATGCCTCCTGCATGAGAGCATTGAGAAAAGCATCAGCAAGGAGAAAGAAATAGTCTTCCTCTCAGCCCCCTTGTCCTTGTCAGGAGAAAACAGAAAAAGGCAACCAAGGCACAGTTCTTGGATCTTTGGTCCTTTTTGCAGACAGATTATTGTTATTTTCCTCTCTCTGTCCTGACAGACTGCTGCTGCTGCAGCTGTTGCAGTGCTGCCCAGGTTCTCCCTTCGTTTATCTCCTTTCTTTCCCTGCCCTCTCTCTCTTTCGTTCTCCCCGGCTCCGTTTCCTACTCCTCCCTTCAGCAGAGCCTCCTGCCGCTGAAGCACGCAGCAGCAGAATGACAGTAGCAGCAGACGCAACAACAATCCCTCCCCCCTCTTCCTCCTCCTCTCTCTCTCCATCCCTCCTCCCTCTCTCCTCCTATGTACCATTTAAAGATACGTTGCTCTGCCTCAGCAGTATGTGTGAAATGTAAGGGGAGGATGAGGAAAAAGAATCATGGCGTTTTTAATACTGGACAGCATAATTCGTTTTTTATCACAGGCATGTTTTCACACGCCCTCGTCTCTCTCAATCCCTTTGTTCTTCCCCTCCCCCCTCCCTCACCTCTTGGGTCAGGCACGTTCATCGCACATACAATTATGCATGATTTGCGCTGTGGAAATGGATTGTGCAGTCAGACACATTTAGGCACGTCATTTACTCAGTGCACAAAATGAACAGGGTTAACAACCCGTGAGGAAAGCTGTGTCCAAAAGCCCACAACAACTGGAACATCCAGCTTAGCTGTTTATCCTGTCTGAGCTGGCTTATTACCTAACTCTAACCCTGTTTTAATCATATGCTTAAATCTACTGAGTGTTATCTGATTTTTACTTAAATGGAACTAGTCTACTGACGTTTACAGAAGAACAATCCTGTCCAATAAGTTTCAAAGTGTGTCAATACCGTATTTTCATATATACAGTTGAAGTCGGAAGTTTACATACACCTTAGCCAAATACATTTAAACTCAGTTTCTCACAATTCCTGACATTTAATCCTAGTAAAAATTCCCTGTCTTAGGTCAGTTAGGATCACCACTTTATTTTAAAAATGTGAAATGTCAGAATAATAGTAGAGAGAATGATTTATTTCAGCTTTTATTTCTTTCATCACATTCCCAGTGGGTCAGAAGTTTGCCTTTAAATGGTGTAACTTGGGTCAAACGTTTCGGGTAGCCTTCCACAAGCTTCCCACAATAAGCTGGGTGAATGTTGGCCCATTCCTCCTGACAGAGCTGGTGTAACTGAGTCAGGTTTGTAGGCCTCCTTGCTCGCACACACTTTTTCAGTTCTGCCCACAAATTTTCTATAGGATTGAGGTCAGGGCTTTGTGATGGCGACGCCAATACCTTGACTTTGTTGTCCTTAAGCCATTTTGCCACAACTTTGGAAGTATGCTTGGGGTCATTGTCCATTTGGAAGACCCATTTGCGACCAAGCTTTAACCTCCTGACTGATGTCTTGAGATGTTGCTTCAATATATCCACATAATTGTCCTTCCTCATGATGCCATCTATTTTGTGAAGTGCACCAGTCCCTCCTGAAGCAAAGCATCCCCACAGCATGATGCTGCCAACCCCGTGCTTCACGGTTGGGATGGTGTTCTTCGGCTTGCAAGCGTCTCCCTTTTTCCTCCAAACATAACGATGGTCATTATGGCCAAACAGTTCTCTTTTTGTTTAATCATACCAGAGAACATTTCTCCAAAAAGCACGATCTTTGTCCCCAAGTGCAGTTGCAAACCGTAGTCTGGCTTTTTTATGGCGGTTTTGGAGCAGTGACTTCTTCCTTGCTGAGCGGCCTTTCAGGTTATGTCGATATAGGACTCGTTTTACTGTCGATATAGATACTTTTCTACCTGTTTCCTCCAGCACCTTCACAAGGTCCTTTGCTGTTGTTCTGGGATGGATTTGCACTTTTCGCACCAAAGTACGTTCATCTCTAGGATACCTTCCTGAGCGGTATGACAGCTGCGTGGTCCCATGGTGTTTATACTTGCGTACTATTGTTTGTACAGATGAACGTGGTACCTTCAGGCATTTGGAAATTGCTCCCACGGATGAACTAGACTTGTGGAGGTCTACAATTTTTTTTCTGAGGTCTTGGTTTATTTCTTTAGATTTTCCCATGATGTCAAGCAAAGAGGCACTGAGTTTGAAGGTAGGCCTTAAAATACATCCACAGGTACACCTCCAATTGACTCAAATGATGTCAATTAGCCTATCAGAAGCTTCTAAAGCCATGACATCATTTTCTGGAATTTTCCAAGCTGTTTAAAGGCACAGTCAACTTAGTGTATGTAAACTTCTGACCCACTGGAATTGTGATACAGTGAATTATAAGTGAAATAATCTGTCTGTAAACAATTGTTGGAAAAATGACTTGTGTCATGCACAAAGTAGATGTCCTAACCGACTTGCCAAAACTATAGTTTGTTAACAAGAAATTTGTGGAGTGGTTGAAAAACAAGTTTTAATGACTCCAACCTAAGTGTATGTAATCTTCCGACTTCAACTGTATAAGTATACACCATTTACTGTAGCAACATAATTTGCAAGTCATAATTTCCCATGGACATTAACATCTTATTTAGAAAATCAAAAAATATTTATTTCATATAATATCACACGTGTATCAAAATTATTGATGGTATATCAAATAAAATTGTATTGGTCGTGTACACAGTTTCACACAATAGGATACAAGCTTGTCAGAGCAGCTTGGGAGTGAGGTCATCATCAATGGACTCAACTCTGCATTGTGACAAGCAAGAACAAGTTTCAAGTAAACAAAACAACATGCTGATTTTGGCAGGTGTATATGGAGGTTTTCAGGTCAGGTCCTCTTTCACTATACAGTATCCCGCCAACAGCCTAGAGTGTCACTGGACCAAACAATTGTCAGCTTTCCCCTGGCCATTGAAATCAGTCAATTGAAATTAATTCATTTGGCCCTAATCTATGGATTTCACATGACTGGGCAGGGGCGCCAGCCATGGGTGGGCCTGGGAGGGCATAGGCCCAACCGATCAGAATGAGTTTTTCCTGACAAAAGGGCTTTATTATAGACAGAAAAACTCCTCAGGCCCCCTCCCTCCCATCCTCAGACGATCCCGCAGGTGAAGAAGCCGGATGTGGAGGTCCTTGGCTAGCGTGGTTACACGTGGTCTGCGGTTGTGAGGCCGGTTGGACATACTGCCAAATTCTCTAAACCGACATTGGAGGTGGCTTATTGTAGAGAAATGAACATTACATTCTCTGTCAACAGCTCTGTTGGACATTCCTGCAGTCAGCATGCCATTTGCATGCTCCCTCAAAACTTGAGACATCTGTGTTGCGTGACAAAACTGCACATTTTAGACGTGGCCTTTTATTGTCCCCAGCACAAGGTGCACCTGTGTCATGATCATGCTGTTTAATCAGCTTCTTGATATGCCACACCTGTCAGGTGGATGGATAATCTTGTCAAAGGATCAAATGCTCACTAACAGGGATGTAAACAAATGTGTGCACCAAATTTGAGAGAAATAAGCTTTTTGTGCGCATGGAACATTTCTGGAATCTTTTATTTCAGCTCATGAAACATGGGGCCAGAACTTTACATGTTGCATTTATATTTTTGTTCAGTGTACTAAGAAATGAAATGGTGAAATGGTAATTAGACAGTTAACTTATTTATTCATTTTTTGTTTCTTTGGAATTCAATAAAACAAGCACAGCTAGGCGCCATTTGATACCACAATTTCCTATTGAATACCAGGAAAATACTGTAAAATAAAGTGCTAGCACAGTTTGGAAAGAGCTGCAAGCAGCATATGCACTAAATCCAGGTAACAGCATCCAACCCAGACTCATAATGTCTTATAGTGTGTAAGCATAGCACTGGAATTACTGCATAATGACTGTCTGCTTCACCCCCTCCCCTTAGAACTTGTGGACATTCATTGACTCTAAATACTGCATGAGGACTGCTATACCAGCTAGGTGGCTTTCTGTTCACACAGACAACAGAGCTGGGAAATACATGCTGTTCATTAACCTCTATTCCTTCTATAACAGTATAATAGTACAATATAGTGTGTTGACACACAGTATGTGTGTAATGTGCCCGCTTGAGAAATCAAGGAGTCATTTCTAGGTTGTGCTCAAAAGCAATGAAACACAATTGCTCTTAACCAGGAGAACCAATAACCTTCTGGGAACACTATGGTTCACTTTGCTTTGATGCAATGCAACGGACTAGTTTGTTATGATGCCTCGAGGGCCCTTTCTGCTCTCCCACCGTGTGCCTACACACTCCACTGGCCTGATATGTGGGTCCCGGGGAACCTGGGGTCTTCTGAGACCCATGAAGTCATTTGATGTGGCTTAGCGAGGGGGACTGAAAACAATGTCATGTTTTGTTCTTGCTCGTCACAAGCAATGCCCCCATGCTGAGTTGAGACCATTGATGCTCTGACAAGCTTGTTTCCTGTTGTGTAGATATTTGAGGATGGGAATAAGTTGATCACAATATTTTGGAAGTATTTTTTGTGAGCATATTTATGAAATGTAGCTGAAGATATTGCAATTGCATCAAGTCATTTCTGTCTGAGCAACCCTACTGCATAACCAACATATTAACTGCGCATTAGTCCTTATAAAGAGCATGTTAGCTTACAAAACACCACAAAAAGTATCATAACGCACTCAGCCAATGATAAGGTTTGGTGTGAGGTATGACCCAGGTGCGGTGCAGGATAGACAGTAGGCAGTAGGCAGAGATGGTGAAACAAGGATCTTTACTGGTGGTCCAGAAGCCAGGATACAAAATAACGGACTTAACACAGTAAAATAAAGGTGGAACAAATAATTCTCCAAAAACAGGCTGACAGCCAAAATACGAAATAGTAACTACGACTGAAATAATAAAGAAACAG